GCTGCAGTAAGGTCTCCCTGCAGCCTTCTCTTCTCCAGGCTGAACAACCCCAACTCTCTCAACCTTTCCTCATAGCAGAGGGGTTCCATCCCTCTGATCATTTTTGTGGCCCTCCTCTGGACCCGCTCCAACAGATCCATGTCCTTCCTGTGCTGAGGACCCCAGAGCTGGACACAGTACTCCAGGTAGGGTCTCACCAGAGCAGAGTAGAGGGGCAGAATCACCTCCCTCGACCTGCTGGCCACGTTTCTTTTGATGCAGCCCAGGATACAGTTGGCTTTCTGGGCTGCGAGCGCACATTGCTGGCTCATGTCCAGCTTTTCATCCACCAGTACCCCCAAGTCCTTCTCCTCAGGGCTGCTCTCAATCTCTTCATCCCCCAGCCTGTATTGATACCGGGGATTGCCCAGACCCACGTGCAGGACCTTGCCCTTGGCCTTGTTGAACCCCATGAGGTTCACATGAGCCCACTTCTCAAGCTTGTCCAGGTCCCTCTGGATGGCATCCCATCCCTCAGGAGTGTCAACTGCACCGCTCAGCTTGGTGTCATCTGCAAACTTGGTGAGGGTGCACTTGATCCCACCGTCTATGTCATTGATGAAGATATTAAACACTACTGGTCCCAATATGGACCCCTGAGGGACACCACTCATCACTGATCTCCATCTGGACATTGAGCAGTTGACCACTACTCTGTGGATGCAACCATCCAGCCAATTGCTTACCCACAGAACAGTCCATTCATCAGTCCGTCCATCAAATCCGTATTTTTCCACTTTAGAGAGAAGGATGTTGTGGGGAACTGTGTCAAAGGCCTTACAGAAGTCCAGATAGATGGCATTCCATAGCTCTTCCCTTGTCCGCTGATGTAGTCACTCCACCATAGAAGGCCAATAGCTTGGTCACGAAAGATTTGCCCTTGGTGGTGATGATAGTTCCATAATCTCCCTGTACCGGTGTTTTTTCTTTTTAAGTGAGGGTTATATAATCTCTTAGAGACGGATTTAACTCACTGTTCTTTAAAAAGTAATTTGATAACCTTACACAGAAGGCAGTAAAGAGCTTCAGACTTTCTTATCTGTCTTTACTGACATCACCTCCAAGGTATTTTCATCTTCTTTTGCTCATGGTCACTTGTTCTCTGCTGTTACAGTCACTAGATTTCCCCGACCTGTATCGCCTCTTCAGGATGTGGCCATCATCATTGGAAGCCGCGAACAGTTAGCAGTGTTGTTGCAACTGTATGACTATCAGCTAGAACATGAGGGTACCACAGGCTGGGAGACTTTGTTATGGGTAGTCAATCAACTGTGAGTTAATTTGTATCTTATGATTCCTAATTTTAAAATGCGTCAAAATTAATAGTTCTTAAGCATGATTATGTTTAAAAATTATTAAACATAAGAATTTTAAGTATGATCGTGTTTAAGAATTCTTAAAGAGGAAAAAATTGAATTTTTTTAGGTGTTTTCATTTTCATACTGAATTGACTTTGATTTTATTCAGAATATATCAGCTATCTAGCAGAAACTGTAGGTAACTGCTTGCTTAAAAAAATTGCTTCTTTCATCTCTGGCCTAGTATAGTCAATTCTCTGTTGAAGTGAAGATGGTTGTATTCTGAATGTCTCATGAAATACACTGTTCTGCAATGACATGTTTGAAAATATAGGTCAGACTTCTGGCACTTAAGCCCTTGCTTTCTTCAAGGGTCAGGAATTGTACAGAACATGTAGATAATTTTGTTAGAACCAATAGTGCTCTGTGTGTATATTTACTAATATAAACAGTAAATTTATACAAATATAACTGGAGAGAAACAAAAGATCAGAGTAGTGTTTAATATCCGTTTGTTTCCCGATTTTTAGGCTGCCACAGCTTATAGAAATAGTTGGCAAGATCAATGTAGCATCAACTGCCTGTGTCCATGAGTTCTCTAGATTTTTCTGGAGACTTTGTAGGACATTTGGGAAAATTTTTACAAACACTAAGGTAAGATATTACCTTAAATATTCTACAAAAAGAGTACATTGATAATATATATTCTCCATATTTATGTTGTGTCTGACTACCTGCACTTCATGTGACCCTTTATACTTGCATGTCACACTGATGCTTTTCTATAAGTACATTTAAACCTGCTATTTTTAAACCTCTTTTTGCATCCTTTTGATTTCCATTTTTGACCATTTTGTAACAGCTGTCCCATCTTGCCCAACAAGGAAGGATTTTTTTTTTTTTTTTTTTAAACTGTATTCTTCATATTTGCTTTGTGAATGGCATAAAGAGTGGGAGAGGTCATCCTAATTCTAGTGGTTTAACAATTTTCTTTCTTCAGAACAGCATACTGTTCAACGCTTATGGTGTACATAAGTACTCCAGCCTGTACTTGATTGGAAATGTAATGCTTTCCCTGCCCGAAATATTTTCTGTAGATGATATCTAAACATTTTTATCAAGGAAATATATCATTTTTCTCAATAAAATAACTTCTGAATATAATTCAAAAATCTTTTAAAGGGAAATTATAAAACATGAGAGGATAACCTAAAGATAAAATTACAAAACAGGATTAGCATTATGTGCTGCCTCCAGAGAGGAGATTAAAGCCAGTCTCTGGTCTTTGAAAGCCCCTTCTGTAGGCTATCTTTAGAACTCTTGCTTCTATAAAATTGTTCTGATACTGATTATCACAGCTATATTTTGGAAGAGAGCACTTGGACAGCAAAGATAGAAATAGCTTCTTAAAACAGTAAACCCTAAAGCCCAACTAAGCATATTGCCAAGAGACTTAAACCTTTGGTATCAGGAGTGCTAAATACTGCTACCTCAGTGTGGGTACTCAATAGAAATTTTTACTATCTTATGTCATACTTTCAATTTTCGTAAAAGCTGGCTACGCTCTTTAAAGGTTTTTTTCTTTCTGTACCTTCAAAATGTCCTTTTTCTGTTAAGTTGTTTTTTATATTCTTAATTTTTTCCTAAATTAATTGACACTGGTAACAGGTTTTCTTATATGGGATTCATCATCCTTTGTATAGGTAAAACCACAGTTCCAGGAAATCTTAAGACTGTCTGAGGAAAACATAGGTAAGTAGCTTTTTACTCAAATGAATAAAAATTGATCTTAACCACAACTGGAAAAAACCTGTCAATCTCTTGTTCAAATGACATTTTCTGACTGCAGCTCTCAAATTTGTCATATTTGTGAAATGTTGAAAATCTAATCTTAATCTGAGTGGAACACTCTGAAGTTGTAGATTGTGTGTTGTGTGTAAAGTACAAATAAAATCTCAAATCCAAATACCACTTGAGCATTATTTTAGCGTGTGTGTGTGTGTATGCATACATATGTATATAAATTCTTCATGTATATATAAAAAGGTGAATATATGTAATACTTATAATACACACATAAATCTAATATATAAAATACATAGTATATATATTACACACACATATATACACATATATGTATACATAAAGCCTAAATTCTTCACTGTGTTTCATTAGATTCCACAGCAGGTAATGGAGTGCTAACAAAAGCCACAGTTCCCATCTATGCAACAGGGGTCCTTACATGTTACATTCAGGTAGGTTTGTTTTTCTGTTTCTTTGTTAAATGTATAATAATACGTAAAATTGATTCTACCAGAAAACCCTTACTGTTTTTTTTGAAAACTTGCAGTGTTCTTGTGCTCTGAAGACAGGTAGATAAGTGGGCAGCTGTAAACACATTTAAAAGCAAAGTTTTCTAGTCAGGTTGTCTACTACATTTAGATGATAGTCATTAGTGTTAAAACCTGAATTCAGTAAATCTTAAAATGACATCTGGTGTCTTCACTACTGCTAACTCTGACATTGACAGCTGCCATATGCCTCTATCAAAAATACTAATGTTATTCCATAAGTGGATTCTTGGCCATTTAACTGTGACCCCTGCAAACATAATTTTGCAAAATTTACTGAAACAGATAAACAGGTAAATCACCATTTTGGCCATAGTTGGAGTCTTAAAATTTTAGTGTTGCCTAATACTAAAATAAACACTCCATAAATAATACTACCGAATCCTCCAGTAACCAGCATTTATGGACCAGCGTATACGTAGCTTACAGGAAAAAATAAATACTTCATCATCTCACAAATGTTTCGTGGACTGTGAGCAACCACAAACTGTCAGGAGCCATGAAAGTGCTTAAGTATTCGTCTTACAAGTTTCTTTAGTAAAACAGTTTGGGTAATTTATGCACAAGTGTGTGCTTAGTTGATGAAATACAGAAACAGAGTCTCTTCTTGTGTTTCCTTTGAAAGGTTCTTGTTCTTAAACCACATTTCTGAAGTTCGTAAGAAGATTGTTAAAGGCCATATGTAGTTTGTTCTTGTTCATAGTTTGTCTCTTCCATAGATGTAGGTCATCACAACCGCAGCAATACTTCTACTACATTCAACATTGTACGCTCTTCTTTCAGGAAGAAGACCGCAAGCTCTTAGTTGGATTCTTAGAAGATGTAATGACCATGCTTTCACTATCCCATGCTCCTCTTGATAGCCTGAAAGCTTCCTTTGTGGAACTGGGGTAAAGAATATACCTTGGCGTTGACTAGATCTAAATACATAAAAGTTTTTATTAAAAGCTGCTAATCTGCCTGTAATTTTAATAACTGTGATGCTTTGGGTGAATAAGGGGTGTACTTGTTTTTTTTTTCCTTGGTGTTTCACAAAATTTTAACTTTTAATCTCTGGATTAAAAATATAATGGTAAAAGAATTCTGAAGTATGAAAAAGAAACCCCAAAAACCAAACAAACCAAAAAAAAAAAAACCACAAAAATCAGTCATTGAGGATAAAATGGAAATTCATTTTGTATTTTTCATACTATTATGATGTGTTCTAGATAAGTATTTGCATTCAGTTCAGTGTCATAATTTATTGAAAATTATATTCTTAAAGGTTTGTTTTTTTTTTTAAATGAACTTCAAAATGCAACATATTTTCTAGACAGCAACATGCTGCATGTCCTTCAGAATGGGATAAATGTTATGTATCCTTCAGAAAGGTTAAATGCTGGAGTTGTAGACTTGTTGAGCAATGGATGCTTGAGACTACATTTTGTAGGCAAAGAACATATTCCGGGTTTCAGAGTTTGGTTTTTGGTTTTGGTTCTTTTTTTTTTTTTTTTTTGATTGCTGAACTGTTTTCTTCTAGTGCAAACCCAGCTTATCATGAGCTGCTCTTAACTGTCTTATGGTATGGAGTTGTCCATACTTCTGCTCTTGTTCGATGTACGGCTGCTAGAATGTTTGAGGTAAGTGTTATCCAAACTTTTTTACACCTGTTTAAAACCAGAGTTTATTTTTAAAAACAGTGATTCAGATAATGTTGCTGCATTCTTAAAAATTACAAATGTCTTAAATAAGTTGTGTACTGTGTGATGGAGCAGGAAGTTGTGCAGTTGTTTCTGTATCTGTTCTTGTTCAACAGCACATCTTTAATTAAGCAATTTGTCATTAGCCACTTGCAAGATGTTTCTGTAATAACTGTGTATGTGTTCTTTGATCTGCTGCTGACTCGATTGTTGCCTTCTGATTATTGCATGCTGAAAATCATTTTCCAATTATGAGAACGCGTTTCATTGCTAAACTGTGTTCAAACCAGAATTAAATACATTGTCAAATGTGTTTGCTTAAGTCTATGGATAAACAAGCATCTCTGAGTTTTAACATTTGCTTTTGCTATTCAACACATCATCAGTAGCCTAATTCACAAGTTATTGGCTTTCAACACTTTTTGTCTATACTCGTACAATGCACTTGCATTGTAATTCAAACTAGTTTCCATTGGTGCCAAATATGGTGGTAAAAACATACATTTAACCAATTTTGTATTTTTGGTAAAAATTAAAATAATTTACGATTACTTTACTTGCAACATAGTGACAGCTTCAACTTTCCCTTAATTTGCTCAAGATAAAGACTTACATTTAACTAATAAATTTGCTTTTATTTCCACATCATGCCTTTGTTTTATCAAGTGTTAATTTAAGAAAGCATATACAAAAACTCTGGGACATACTCCACTTGCTGAACAAAGAGATTACTTTTTCTTTCTTTCTTTTTTTTTTATGGTAGAAAGACATATTTCTAATCACACTGTCACAGTCCATTTCTTTTTTGTTGTTTTTTTTTGGGGGGGGGGGGGGGGTGGGGCGGGGGTTTGCAGTTCTTCCACATTTGACTCATTTGGAGGATAGCTTTGCAGTGGACCTCTAGCTGAACCTGCCACCTTGTATCCATTTGCAAAAACAAATCTCAAGTCTGCCTCAGAAAAAAGAGCACTTAACATAACCATTAGTCTTTTTTTACTGCAGCTTTGGAAGTCATTGCAGATAAAGCACTAAACAACCACTTTACGAAAGATCCTGAGACTTCAGTTGAAAACAGCCAACCTTGTCTTTTTTTTATTTTTTCCTTCCTTTAAAAAGGAGATGGCAATTTTTGGTCACACTTAAAATATTTTTGGGTTGTTGTTTGTTTGGGGTTTTTTCTTTTTTTTTTTTAAATCTAACAAGAACATTGTTTATATTTTATATTTGTAATAATAAGCTTTTTTTTTTTTTTACATAAGCGTTAGCCAAACATGTGAAAGACCTTAGTTACAACAGGCTGTTGTCTTAGTTGCAGTTTATTTTCAAATTCAACTGCATGTTGATTAGTTTTTCGCAGTCCTGCATGCTATTTGACTGCTTGTTTCCTAGTATGCTTCAGTTTTTATGAAAGCATAGGCAACTTTGTTGCAGACACTTTCCTGACTTGAAAATAGTATCATATTGACACTTCATTGATAGCTATAGCATACATATTTATACATGGCAATATGTAAATTCGGGAAGTCACCTGTGTAAAGAGGTGATAACAGTTGGTTTACGCTTTTGGAAGATTCCTTCATTTGAGGAATTTGTGACATCTCAGAGGCTGCTGAATGGCAAAGCCCAGCGATTAGATAATAAGAGAAAGAGTATGTCACCTGCAGGACAGCTATATGAGAACTGTAAAGAGCAGCACAGTGGTCTGTACAGCAGCACAGAGACTGCCGTGATTTGGGCCTGCCAGACTGCGTTACCAAACCTTCACAGTCTGTTATGGATTGGAAGGACACAGAAGTAATCTGGAGCCATTCTACCCCTTCTCTCCTTCGGGGGCAGGAAGCTTTGTGCTACCATTTTTAAGGTGTAGTATGCATAAGTATGATCACACATTGATCTAGAGGAATCAAAACAGGATAAAAATTGGCATTGTCTGTCTCACTGTAACCTTACACGCTGCTACATGGCTTTGCCCATCCAGCTGTTTCTGCCGCTTCTGTGTTAGTGTTTTCAGTCAGTAGTTTCCCATCTGAATGTTGATGCAAACAGATTTGATTGCTGCTGGTTTGAACATGAAGCGCATAGTTGAGTTATAAGCTCTGTTGGTCTGTTTAGGTTCAAGGCTAGGAACACTTATCTTCAGAATGACACTTGAATTATAAAGCATGTTTTATTTTCTGTAAGACAAAATAATGCTGTTTACCATGCTTTACCATAATTAAAAGTGTGGCAGCCCACATAGTCATGAAGCTGAGATCATTCTCAATTGTTTGCTAATTATACAAATCCCAAGCATTTTTTTCAAAGCATTACATTACCCCTAGGCTTTTCTCAAAATTAAGATTAATAAAGAAAACTCAAGTCCCTGTTTGTTCAAAATTGAAAATAGTAAGCATTCTCTATTTTAATCAATGAGAAGACTGGTAAATCTGTATATGAGAGTTAAGATCGTCGTAGTCAAACAGCGAGCTATGTCCTTAACAGCTGTTCGAAGAGTAGGCCATAAGCTCAACACATCAGCACTTTAAGTTGTTGCCACTGTAAATAATCGTGAAATGTATTAATGTTAAAATGTAGTAGTTGAATTGACATTCCTAATACTTTCTGAATAACAAGTATAGGAAGTTGCAGCTTTCCTCCTCCAGGTGCTTTGCAGCAGTAACGCATACGTTCTTACACAGCTTAACAACTCTCTCCCCATTCTTCCTTCTCCAGTTGTTATCTGTAAGGCTGCAATATGTTCCGTGCATGTGTGCACCCGTGCATGCATGCACATACATGCAGACACAAATATTGCTTAATAAAAATTACTGCTGTGTATAGAAGGCTTCTGGAAAGCCAGGTTCCTTCCAGTCTTTCACAATTTGCTTTGTTTTAAATTCAGAGTTGGTAAAGCAGGAATTCTCAAACAAATAGCAGAATGTAAAACCTTCTCTAGTTAGAGCGTGTAAATATTGCCTGCTTTTAGTATTGCGTGATATACTGACAGCTACTGCTTTCCCCACACCCTATGGATCTTACGTGTTCTCTTGTTACACTGCTGGGGGGGAAAAGCATAGAATTTAATTTGTGTTCATGATGTAATTTGAGTAATTAGAATATAGCTAAAAATTAAAAAGACACTTCAAATTTCTCAAGAAACTACTAATAAGCTTTTTATGTTTATCTCCTAAAACCAGCAAATATGTGCAGACTTCATTACATGAGATACAAAATGGAAATATCAAAGCTTTCCCTTTTTTATTAATGCAGACAAAAAAACCTGTTTTGCTGAATATGGATAAAGTTTGGAACTTGTCGGTTTTGAAAATTAGTAGGTTTTCATATGTAGAAAACAGGTAAAGGGCATCTGCTACATATGCAGCAAACGTATGCTTACATATAGCTCCATAAGTAATGTAAAAAAAAAAAAATCACCTGGGAACATCTGAATTCAAACAATTTCCACATATTTATGGGTAATATATTTCACTGTGATCTCAGTTTTTAACATTTGGGATGCGTTGCAACAAATTGATCTCTTCCTTAGTTTGCAAAAACTAAGGTTAAATCTAAAATAGTCTTGAATGACTTTGAGGAAAGCTTAGTGGCATCTGGGAAGGTGCTGTTCGTCACATTGAAAAAGGTCTGAAAGGTATCACTCAGTGTGGGAAAATACATGCATTTGGCCTACCTAAAGACATCTATTTTGCATGTGACAGCCACCTACTATAATAAATACCATTCCATTGAGTTAGGAACAGCATTTAGATTAAACTGTCAAACTCAAATTGGCATCGCTTTAGTATTTAAGTATACGTTAATATTAGTATTTGAATTACAATACATAATTACTTGCTAAACTTTTGAGAGTTCCAAGTTTTAAAATAGCTGAAAATAGAGAAAACATCATCATGTTGTTGAATTCGTCAGGTTTGTGCGGATTGCCAGACCACTTCAGCTTTCTTCATGCCTTTGCATATATGAAGCACTAGTGTAGCAGTATTTGCTTAGCTCCTAATTTTGGTTTGCTTTTTGTGTTTTTTCTTTCTCTCTCTTGGTTGTGCCGTTCTTCTTCCCATGATACTGTGCTCGCTCTTTCCGTGCATCACCTGTGATACCCCCCTGCTCCGACCATTCAGCTGTTGGTGAAGGGGGTACATGAAACTCTGGTAGCTCAGAGAGTTGTTCCTGCTCTCATTACTCTCTCCAGTGACCCTGAAATGTAAGTTTCCTGACTGTCTTATATACCTAGCATCCCTCTTAATACTTAGGAAGAAATAGCCATCAGTTCTGTTTCTTATTCTAGCTGAACAAAAACTGAATTACTTTTAAACAAATGTAACTTTTAAACCGCTTGTTTGTAAATAAAAGGGTTTACTGCAACACCTAGAACTAAACTGGATAAAACTGCTGAATAAACTTTAAATAGAAAACTTAAATCAATGTCATTTAATTTCTAAGTTTTTTTATATTTAATCATATTCTCAGTTTTGAAATTTGCTTTCATCATTTCTAGCAGAAAGCTGGATATTAATATGTTCTGTAATGCTATCAGCTTTACTACTGCAAAATTAAATATCATCTGCATTAGTGAAATGTAAAATAGCTTTGGCTGTATCTAGTTTCTGATAGATGACCGTAGTACTTAATTTCCTGGACGTTCTGATGTGATATTTCTTTCAAGCTAAGGAGGGATGCTTTGCTAATCTCACTAACAGGTTGTTACTAATAAATGCTACAGCATGAATAAGTCTCTTAATCGTTTTAATGTCTTGTGTGGGTGACTAAACCAAGAAAAACCCCAAGAGCCTGCCTGCCCATCCTCAGTCACAGCTAACCCAGTTCTTCAAGTTTACCAAACCGTTTTTTATTGCATGTTGACTGGTTTACAGCTGACTCTTCGAGGCATGAATGACGCCTTAGTTGACAAGCGGGTTGCTCCAGCCCTTGTTACCTTGTCCAGTGATCCTGAATTGTGAGTTTCAGATTGAGACCTTGAGTTAATCCTGTCTGTCTTTTTCCTGGTCTGCTTTTTTGTTTTGTCATTGTTAGAAACTAATGTAACTTAAAGTACTAATTTTTTAAATTCTGCTTTAGTTTTAATGAATTTTATTCTTAATGTTTAATACATCTTAAAGACTCTATTTTTCTGTTGTAGTTCAGTAAGGATTGCAACAATTCCTGCTTTTGGGACCATCATGGAAACTGTTACTCAAAGAGAGGTAAGACACAAGTAGTCAGGCTGTTGTTTTTGTAGCAGAAGTAGGTGATTTTTTTTATAAATCCAGTAATTTATTAATGAAATTGGAGGGGAAAAAAAAAAGCAGCTTATAAATTATTTTTTTCCTTTGCTATATTGTTTTCCAGTTTAAATTGCTTTCCAGTTTAGCAATGGTCTCTCTTTTTTTTCTTTTTTTTTTTTTTTTTTTTTTTGGAAACAAACTGACTCTCTTAACTAGTAAAAACATTTCCTTCTAAATATCAAGCCAAACATAAACAAAGAAAAGCAGATATGTAGAGGGAGAGGCCTGTGCTAGAAGATGGGAAATTCCATGCTCAAAATGTTTTTTAAAACATTGTCCAATATAGTTGAGAAATCCAAGTCCATTATTTCCAAATAAAATAGCTTTACTTTAAAATGCTAGCCAAAAAGTCATGGTGGGATTCAGTTAGCTCCACATAAGTACACTGTACCATTTCAGATGCCTTAGCATATCCTGCTTGGCTTCCACCTACTTTAGAAGGGCACAAGCCTCTTGTAGTTCCCGTCATATATGTTGGTTTAGCCCATGGTGTCCAAGATGGCATTAAAAGACATCATGGTGACATAACTGAAATAATCCTTGAGGATAATATAGATAATGCAATTCCTCCTTGTTTTTTAAATGATGAAACTTTGGTAATAGATCAGACTTCTGAAAATGACACCCAGGATTCTGCTGTAAGCAGTAGAAATACTGTATTTTGTTTTATATAATAACTGTACAATCAAATTTCTTCTTCAAGTCCTTGCAGCTTTTTGCAGAGTTTGCATTCTTCCTGTAATTTCGACATATTCTAAAAGAATGCGTTTGAGGAAATGTGAGTAAGAAGTCAGTGATGACTCACAAGTACTTGGAAGATGGATAAGTTACAATTTTGTAGCTTGGAATGCATGCCTATAATCAGTTTGGGAAGAATACTGTTTTGTTACCACAGAAAAATTACTGTATCCATTGCACTAATTATAATAAGCCTTAGAGTACAGAGGTGATCCCGCCTTCCAAAATGTATTAGATGATGTTATTTTTACAACTTTGAATGCAAATTAAATACTTATGTCATCTTAGATATATTTGTATTTTCAGGTTTTTTAGCCTTTAGTTGAAGAAATCTTTTTAATTCCATTGATTTTATGATGCTTGCTTTTGCATCTCTGTCCTCTGCAGAAAATTTTTCAGCATACTAATTGAGATATATTGCAAAAAAAAAAAAAAAGTGAATTCAGTTCTAATTAAACAGGAAAACTCCAAAGATATTAATAGTAAGAGGGAAATTTTAATAGCAGATAAAAAACGTGAGTATCAAAACCAAGTAAACCTCAGGAGGAAAGACCAGCTATGTGGAAGCACCTGTCTGTAGTTAAAGACAGATCAGATTAAAACACTGTTAACAGTCTTTAAAATGTAGGGCTGCATCGAAGAGTTTGAAACATCCTGTCAGAAAAAACTGTAAATTAACAGAAGGTCCAAGGTTTGTCGTCTGAAATATGGAAGATCATAGGCAGATTCTGAACTGACCATAACGATTTCTAGCATCTTCATTCTTTTGTGTACTTTTTATTTCTCTGGGAATATTTAAGCTTCTGGAAAGAGTAAAAATGCAGCTGGCATCTTTCTTGGAGGACCCTCAATATCAAGACCAACATTCTCTACATACAGAAATCATAAAAACATTTGGAAGAGTTGGACCTAATGCTGAGCCCAGATTTAGAGATGAATGTAAGTTGCATCAGTGGGAAGACGCGGTCTTCCTCTTTCTGTCCCAAAGATAATAGTATGCTGGTTATATTGATTTTTTTTTTTTTTTGTCTTTACAGAGTTTGATGAAAACTCTTGTTTTCAGAGTTTGATATGTCCCAGTATTTAAGACTTTGCCAATATAATTTTCACTTTACCTAACAATGGTGTCTATATAGAACACCAGCACATAGTGATGAATGATTTCAGTGCTGGAGGGGACTGGCCACTTTGCTGCAGGGCAAATTTGAAGTTGTCTTTTTTTTAATTACTTGACAAAATGTCTTGTAAAATGCCTTCCTCTCCTCTGCTCCCCCATTGCTTCCCCCCCTGCTGGCATATAAATTTCAAGTATTCCACACATCTTAAATGTAAGTGCATTCCAGATTAACAAAGCGGCTTTTTTTCATGGCCCTGAAATGTAAAGCACATAGAAGAGCAAAGTCAATTGTTAGACTGTCTTGAAGATACTTGTAAACAAAACATATGGAGCTATCATGCCTCCCAACTGCAGGCATCTAGTTTAGCAGGCTAAACTCATTAGACAGGCTTCCTCTATAGTCTGTGAAGATTTCTCATGACACGCATATCTCTGTCACTAGCTTATCAGCTGTATTTATAAAATAGAAGCATATTTTAGACAGCTTTAGCAGCAGGAGAGTAATAACGTTGCAAAATATTTGCTGTAAACTGTTACTATGTCAAAGGTACTCTGAGGTACCTTTTTATTTTAGGTGATGTTACCACAGTTTTATTTCAAGTTTGAGTTGATCAGTTGAATCTGCAAGGCAGTCCCATCAAAAGCCATTACTTCCAGTTATTATTCCACACTGATGTGTGATGCTTCAGATGCCTGCGATTGCCACTTCACAACCATTTAATTCTAAGCAAGTCTATGGAAAGCAATTTCAAATACTTACTCCAGTATTTACTTTTACAGTTGTTATTCCACACTTGCACAAGTTAGCCTTGGTCAACAACCAGCAGTCTGTGGATTCGAAGAGACTGGATATCGCTACCCACCTGTTTGAAGCCTACAGTGCTCTTTCCTGTTGTTGTATCTTTTTTTGGGGGGAAGTTTAGCTGTTAATTCTCTGGGGGGGGCAGAAGATTAATACTTGAGAAATAACAAAGTTTGTCTTTGAATGTGTGACGTAAAACATGATCTGTTTAGTATAAAGAAGAGTTTTTCACAGATGGTGGATGTAGTGGGTTGACCTTGGCTGGATGCCAGGTGCCCACCAAACTGCTGTATCACTCACCTCCTCACCG